TTTCTTTTCTTTTTGGTAGAGACATTTCGCTGCTTGTCCAAGTAGCGAAATGTCTCTACCAAAAAGAAAAGAAATTCAGTTGCCATGACTCAACCTCCAGACAATCCCACAGCAATCCAAACTCTTGGCTTTTGTCATCTGCACTGGACCATTGATTAGTTGGTTATCTGTTAGCAATCTGTGTTAAGTGACAGGACCCTGGAAGGGTTATTCCTGAACTACAGAGTCTCATGATTAGAACTGCCTTTTAAGGGTTGCCTCTTTATTATTTTACCACAATTTTCAGATCTTTAAGACCAATTGTTTAATAATTATGGAAAAAATTATATTTGCTATTATTCAAAGTATTTCTTATGTATTTTGGTTAGCAAAAACTGAGCGCATACCTGCAAAGTTATGCTTCTGTGTCCATTGCGTGGTGAAGCAGCTGGTGGATTGATGTGATGTTGTTGTTATTGTTGTGTTTACCTTGATCTGTTTGCATATGCATACAAAGAGAGACTGTATTGCTATTTCCATGGGTTTTCCTTTGTTACATTCCTTTTGGAGCAGGGTTCCTCAACTGGCTGGCTGGGGAATTCTGGGAGTTGAAGTCCACCCATCTTAAAGTTGCCAAGGTTGAGGAGCCCTGTTTTGGAGGGTTAATTAATTTCTTCTGAGTGCAGAACGATGCTTCTATTTCAAAGGATATCTCATTTATTTAGAGTAAATGTTCTGTTTAAAAGTCCTTGGTGGCTAGGATAGATTACCAATTGACTAGCTAAGTCTTCATACATGTGAAATAATCCTTTAAAATTTGATGTCAGACTATTTGATATAAAACACAGTAATAAAACTAACAGACAGCTTACTTACCAAGTTGACATTCCATTCAGAACTACCTAATTCAAAATACATATGGTATAACTGATGCAATACCGTAGCTTACCTTGTCTTTCAGTTTCAGCCAAGTTCAATAAATTATTTCCCAATGTTGCATTCCTATGGCAATTCAATGGGATTTATCCATGAAAAAAATGTGCAAAGAACTGGAGCACTATTTAAAGTCAACCAATTATGAATCCCTATTGTAGGATGCCCACAAACATCTTTCATGTTTCTGCGGTTAATGATTGTACCCAATGATATGCATCTAGCAGTGGAACAACTTTCATCATGGCAACAATACTTTTCCCTGCGATATTGCACCTCACAAAAGGCATATAAATTTAATAAACAAACAAACCAACCAAGGACGAAATAGTATCTTGTGGCACCCTACAACATAGGTGCCAAGTTGTGGAGGTACTGCCCTCTGAGACCATCCCTATAGATCCATTGTAAGCAACATCCCAACCTCTGTCTCCCAAAAACATTCTTCTAGAATATTGTTATCAAAGATATGAGAGATCAGCAGGATAAACAGTCACTCCCTTTGTACCTTTCTCACAGGAATTTATCTGACAAAATGACCATAGCTGATTCCTTCCCAAAATGAGGCCTGAATCCAGACTAAAAATAGTTGAGATAACTGATGTCTTCAGAGAAAATCTACAACTGCACATACATCATGCTTTGAAACATCTTTCACCAAAAAAGGGTATCGTGGATACCAGTAGTTAAGAGAATCATTGGGTCACAAGCAGGGTTTGTATAGATTAATAACTAGATTAGAAAACAGAAGATAATAAGTGTTTGTGTTTGTATATGTATAAGTCATAAGTGTTGAGTGCTCTGATGACATAGCTAAAGTTAAAAGTATTTAAAGTTTGATTTTCAACTATAAAGAGCAAAATAAAAATACAAGTTTAATAATTGTTAATTGTGATTTTTTTTAGTTCATGCCATATTTGGTACTGGATATTTTGGAAGAGTATCGAGGAGTGCCAGGACTTTTCGTGGCTGGGACCTACAGTGCTTCATTGTTTTTTTCAAGAGTGGATGGGCCACTACTTCCTTGAAAGCCAGTGGCACTATTCCATTCCAAAAAGATATATCTATCACTCTCTGGATTCAAAGTCAATCCTACATGGCTAGCTCATGTAAGATGCCAAGATGAGCAGGGGTCAGGAAAGCATGCTTGTACACCTACAAGTGTCTTGTCCACGTCCTCTGACCTCATAAACTGAAAGTGCTCCCATACAATTGGACTAAACAGTGTATTATCAGTATTCAAGTTGTCACAAATATGAACAATTTATGTTCCAGTAACTGTCCTGACTGCTTTATGCTTTCAGCCAAGCTATATACCAGAACTAGTTTGGCTCTACTAAGGAAGAAAAGTATTCATAGACAAATGTGTTGATGGCCCTGATCAAATCTATGTTCCAGAGAATGACTAAAGCTTCAACAGGAATTTCAATCCTTAGAAACCACTAGGATCCATTAGCTCTGTGAGTGGACTATTCTAATTAGTTCCCATCCTTGCAGACACAAAAGACTACGAAAGCCTAAATCTCAGCAGATAGTAATCTAATTATTACAGTATGGTAGATCCCTCACTTTCAGATCACTACCTTCCTATTCAGATCATAACCTTAATTTATAATGTCACACTTAAAGCTTACCTTAATGAAGCACTGTAGGTCCCAGCCACAAAAAGTCCTGGCGCTCCTGGATAATCTTCCAGAATATCCAGAACAAAATATGGCATGAGCTAAAAAAAAATCACAATTAACAAATATTAAACTTGTATTTTTATTTTGCTCTTTACATCAATCTTCAAATATTTTTAACTTCCGCTACATCATCAGAGCATTCAACATTTATGACTTACACAAACACATAATATCCTCTATTTCCTAATTTAGTTGTTAATCTACATAAACTACATAAACTCTGCTCCTTTTGTATATATGTTGCAATACTGCATAATGGATGGAACTGGCATCATGACATCTCAATGCATGTTACATCGTTCTTAAGAAATCTTGCTGAGGATGTATCTGGCTCCATTAACATGTTTTAAATAGAATTATCTTACTGAAAATGAAAATAACTTCCTTTGTACTGAGTCTCAACTACAGTATTTCTTCAAATGCAAACTGCAATGTAAATAAATTTCATATTTGGCCTATGTAATTCCCTTCCTCAGGAATTATGGGATTCTCTAGTCATACATTTGGCTGGGATCAGGTTATCTATCTTTGTTCTGTTTAATCAATTTTACCTGACTTCAGATACTTTTATATGAAGAGAAATTAGTATGTATTTTAATTTAGTAAGTATTAAAAGTATAAAAAAAATTAAAAATTTAGAGTTGTCTATTAGACAACTAATAGTATCAATCTGGAAGTGCCATCCTTACTGACATACTACTATTTCAAAGATTATCAACACCATTAACAACAAAGTAGATGAATTTCCACAGAGTTCCAGAATGTATATGACTGTAACATTTCTGAAATAGCTGTTGCGGCCCCGAATAGAACTTGTATTTCAATAATCTGTAAAAAACCTAACAAAATGAAATGCTATCTTCTCCTTCCAAGTGCATATGGTGTGCTCCATACAAAGCCTTATGCAGGTGGCAGAGGCCTGCTTCTTTATATGAGTTCAGCTGTTTTTAATTTGCTATGAAAGCCAGCCTTGTTATGGCACAGATTAATTTATTTATGAAAGTGATGAATAAATGTGGGTTCCTGTTCATTTTATAAAATGGATGGAAATTTATTATCACCAACCCTATACAAGAGTTATAACAAACTGACTGATTTCAGATGCATTTGAATTACAATGTAGCACCCATCAGGACTGCCCACTTTCTCCTTTGCTTTTTTTATTTAATTCTGAAACTCTTTGCAATTTTTATTAAGTAATCTAGTGATATTACCGGTATTGTATTGGCAGGTTTTAAGTATAAATTATTTTTATATGGTATTTTGGTAATTTTATTTAATTATTCTATTTCATTGCCAAAATAATACAGGTGATTCGGTATTTTGGTAAGAACGTATAACAGGCCTGGGGTATTGCTAACAGAATTATTTTGAAAAATTGGGAAAGTAGTGTTATTTCTGATATTAAAGATTAGATTCAAGAACAGTGTAATTTATGTTTTTGAAAAGGAAATTTTATCTACTAATCAAAAATAATGCAATATGTTCTCCTTTGTCATGGATTTTATGACATTTTTATGACATTTGTAACTTTAGAGAATTATCATTTAAAGTCTTTAATTTAGGTTTAGAAACTTTTAATTACTGTTTGGTAATTGATAGATATGTAATAAAGAGTGAGAATTTTCTCTTTTTTTCTATTCTTGATAAGTTTTTCTTTTCTTTTAACATTTGAAGATATTTTACAATATTTTTAAAACAAAATATTTTTACAATAACATTTGTACTGATTACATTACAGTACTATATGGTATTTATTAGTAAACTAGTGTGGTGGATAGCAACAGAGAGCAAGGCTATCAGGAAGGAGGGGGTGCATTCCAGGAAGGGAAAAGAGACAAAAAGACAACCCCATCCACAGGGGGAGCGTGGGAAGCATATGAGGGTCAGGGTAGCCGCTCCCTAGAATCTCCCAGGGTAAATCCATCAGTTGCAATAGTATAGATTTAGTCTGGGAAGATTCCATCTATATGGTATAAGCAAATAAAGAAACTTAACTCAACTGGACTGTTTCACTGTTATTCTTGGGCTAGGCCTGACAACCAGTGACAATTGATACATTGTAATATAGGGTTGTTTTTTCCCCCTCTTTTCTTAGTTTGGTTTTTCTATCCTTTTTTAAGTTTAAGAATAGTTTCATTCAATTGTATTTTTTTTACTGTATTTAGATGCTTTTTCAATATTTTGTATTTTGAAATAAAATAAAATTCAAAAAATGTTTGTTTTCTTTTGTTTTTTATATGTTTTAACTTTCTTTTTTTCCCATTTTCTGTATTTTTTTTGGTAAAACTTGTTAAGAAAAATAAGCTTGATATGAAAAAAAAGGGAAGCCAGTCACATCAGAAATAAAAGGTATAATCTTTTTGGACAAACATAACATTCACTAACAAGTTACCTAGCTACTAAAGGGCATTGTTTTGATACACAATTTTATACCCTCTCATAATGTGTGGGCATGCATGTGATAGTGCACTCTATCTTATTTACAAAGGATT